TGTCATATATATATGACCGTACGTTGTGCCATTACACGTGCAGATAAAAAAATTTCCATTAAAAAAGCGTTTGTATGATTTCTCATTAACGATGTTTAGCTGAGTGTAGCTTAATATTGCCCAGTTTTAAAATTGATTCTTATCAACTGGACATTCGAACTTCTAATGCGCAGTAATCAACAACGCGATTTAATCAGGCTTTATTTGGAGCGCCATAAAGTCTCTACGTTCAAAAGCATATTCAAGGTTAAATAAAATGATCAATTACTGCGCGATCCATCCATTAATCGCGCCCACCACAATGATGTTTATCAGCCTACGTATTTGCAAAAAAGGAAATTTTAAAGGACAAATATACCTATAACTCGAAAAAAAGTATGTGATTGCAAACGCTTTACATTATGATATTAAATGTACTTCAGTTAATTTAAACGGACGCAGATACTAGTTCTGCAGACGCAAGAAATTTTCCCTTGGTTACTCACACCTTAATCAATTTGCAGAATAATTTCTACAATATTTTATATATTTTGAACTGATTGTAATTATACTAAAAATTGTATTTGTTACCAGTTTACAGAGAAGGTAGAATGGACATGTGCAGTCGGGGATAAAGTTGACTGCGAGAAAAATCCCTTATAGTTCTTTCTAGTGTTTGCGAGTGACTGGCATTTTTAGGTGAAAAGCTGTGAGTCCGTTAAATGATAATTGTTCGGGCGTGTAAGTGTTGCCACAGGTGTACGGTGTTGCCAGTCTCCCTGCAGAGTTATAGAACCAGTATTCTGTCTCCGGTAGAGGCGTGGTGGTGGACGGTTGCCAGCTGACGCCTGAAGAGCAGGCCGATTGCTGACTACAGATTCAGCACCGTTGCTTTCGGGATGAAACCTGACACATGGCTTATAGTCCACCAAAGGCATCTACCGAATCTCTAATTAAAATTCATGAAAAATTTACTGAATGCAGAAGACTAGTGAGAGCTCACCTAAATAAAGGACAGTCTTGCTTAAGTTTGATATTTCTATGAAGCGTATTCCAAATTACAGTGGCGTTTAACGAAACGACTGACGCTATCTAACTGTGCGTGTAAGATGAAAGTATAAAAGACGTATCAATGGGTGGGGTGCCGAAAGTTGCCGAGCCGCTACAAGGGGTCAAAGGAACGATGGCTTAGGAATAAGGAAGTCATATTTGTTAGCGCCAGTTTCGTAAAAAATTATGATGATGTGCGCAGATAAAATGTACCAATTTGTAATAATGTAATTTATTTAGTTAACAATGTCCCGACTCCGGACCACATCCTCTTTACCACATGTACAGAATTTTGCCCCTGCCCTATTCAGCAAGTCCGTGTTCTAGGAGATGGATCATGTTTGAGCCTTCCATCAAATCCCATTGCCCCAGAGGATGTTTCGAAGGCGGCGGTCACCATCCCCTTGGCCTCTTTGAGTTCCTGGGCATGCCGTTTTAGCTCCGCAACGCCTCCCAAATCTTCCAGAGGTTCATGGATAGGGTGTTCCGTGATATAATTTTCGCCTATTTTTACGTTGTTGACCTCTTGGTGGTCCTCTCTACCGCCGAAGAACACGTGGAACCTCTCACAAGGGTGTCCGACAGCCTTCACCAATTTGGCATTGTCCTCAACCCGTCCAAGCGTGTATTTGGTCTGCACTCGAGTTTCTTAGACATCTAGTCGACTCTAGTAGCATCCATCCTCTGCCGGTCAACGTTGCAACCATCCGTGACTTCAACTTTCCCTCTTCCAAGTGTCGAATTCAGTGTTTTCTGAGTATGGTGAGCTTCAATTGCTGCCTACTTCCGAACTGTGCTGATACCATTCTGACGCTTACGAATCTTCTCTCTACACCCAAGCGTTCATTTTAGCTACCCGCAGCCGCCCTTGTTGCCTTTAAAAAGGTAATGGTCGTCCTGGCCGATGCCACACTCCTGATGCACTACGCCCCGGATGCACGCAGCTTCACCATGGGTGAGTCCTGCAATGTTGCAGTCGGCGCGTTTCTTCAACAGCACTTTGCAGGTCAAACGTAACCCTTAGCATTCTTCTTAAATAAGCAATGAACTACCGAATCCCGTTACAGCCCATTTTAACGGGAGCTTCTGGCTGTCTATGTTGCTATCGAACATTTCGGGCACTTCCTCCAGGGCAGAGGCTTTGTCGTCTTCTCCGTTTATTAACCTCGTTCCTACACCTTAAAGTGACACTCTGACAAGTTGAACCCACGGCATCTTCGAAAAACTGGACTACATTTAACCCTTCACCTCGGACGTCTGCCGTATCGATGGGTATAGCAGTCAGGAGGCTGAAGCACTTTCCAGACCCTCAGTCGCAATCTGCAACTTACGCCCGGGGTCGTACCGACTACAAGTGCCGAAAAATGCTGTGTTGGTTGCTCCTGTGACAAGAAAGTTTCCGGACTCCAACTCCAAGAACTGCCACTGACTAGCAACGCCACCATTCTCTGTGATATCTTCACCGCCTCCCACCATCCATCTGTGCCAACATGCGATCCTCGTATATTTTGCTTCTCCCCGCAAAACTTATGTCATCTTGCGCATCGAGTAACCGACAGTTCGGTCTCTGATCACTTCGTCTGGCCTGGGATGCACCAGGAACTCAAAGCGTGGGCACGGGATTGCGTGCACTGTCAACGGAGCAAGGTCTGGCAGCACAGCAAGGCACATGGTGGCAAGTTTTCCGGCCCTGGTCCAAGGTTCAATCACATCCATCTGGACGTCCTAGGCACTCTGCTTCTGCCTATTAAGTGTTCCTACCTCTTAACCTGCGTCTATCGATCCACCCGGTGGCCTGAGGCTATCTTTCTGCCCAATGTTGAGGCCTTCCTCAGACCTTGGGTTGCCGTCTCCGAAGCTCCCTCCACTATCACGACTGATCGTGGTGCCCAATTCGAATGCGACCTTTTCCAATCTCTTCCTTTCGTTTTAGGTTTAACCCGCATCCACCCTGCAGACTATCATCTGGCTGCCCACTGGATGGTCGAGGGATTTCATCGCCAGTTAAAGGCCTCCCCACCCGGAGAACTGTATTGACCATCTAAATAAATAAATAAATTTTTATATT